AGCCTGGCCACTCACCGGGAGGAAGAACGCTGCTTCCCTTGGACCAGGGCTTGCAGCTACATATAATGGCAAGTTTCCTTTCAAATATACAGTTTTCATGATAATAAGGATAGTCACAAAGAAAATGTATATGTATTAATCTATATAGAATTATAAAGAGTATATTCACTTTGTTCATGAAAAGCAAAGCATGGTTCAGGACCCCTGAGGACTGTGCTAGCGCCTGAGGCCCATCTGCGTCATACTGTTTCTCACTTGGTTCTCGGGTTATACTCCCGCAGGCCCACCACAGGGCTTTCTGCAGAGTGTGTTCATTCATGTGTGCCTGGCAAGGACCTCTGTTATTTTTTGTTTTGAGACAGAGTTCCTCTATGTAGCCCTGACTCTCTTGGAACTCACTATTTATACCAGGCTGGCCTCCACTTGCTTCTGCCCTCCCAAGTGCTGGAATTAAAGATGTTCACCTCTATGCCCTTGGCAACTCCATCTTAGACTGCCCCAAACAGAGCTCCTCATCTTTTCCCAGGTTTCCTATGCTTCACGGATACTGCTACTGTAAGGGATACGGGAACCCTGGTGTAAGACTTCATACTTTGGGCTGTGGCAACATGTCAGGGTTGGTCCTCAGAGGCAACAGAGGGAGGCATCACCCTGTATTGTATCTGCATCTGTGTCTTGAACTTGATTGAACTTAGCACCAAGTAAAACACATGCTGGGAGATGTACAGAGGTGCTCAGAACTTCTGACACGTGAAGACCTGGGGGCCATTATAACACCACTGGTGTGCTGGGGAGCCCGGGAGAGCCTAACATGATCCATATTAAATAGCATCCTGGGTATTAGGTGGGCAGCAGTTGGCAAGCTATAACTGGGTCTGACCTGTGGCCTACTTTTGTATGATAACATAGTCATTCTTTTTTTAAAAAATAAAAATTTGTATGTATTTATTTTATTTGTATGTGTTTACATACATGTATGTATGTATATGATATGCATACCTGGTACCCACAAAGGTCAGCAGGTAATGTCAGATCAGATTCCCTGGAACTGGAGTTATAGATGATTATGAACCACCATGTGGGTGCTGGGAACTGGACCCAGGTCCTCTGCAAGAGCGACAGGTGCTCTTAACTATGGAGTCATCTCTCCAGCCCCACAAACCATTCTCAAATGACCTTCAAATGACATCAAAAAGAGAATGGGTGGAACTGCAGAGACGGCTCCATAGACATTGTCCTTGCTTTACAAACGGGGGTCTTATTCAGATCTCCAGTACCCATGGAAAAGCCAGGCATGGTAGCACATACTTGTGGCCCCAACACTGAAAAGTGACAAAGATTCCTGGTCTTGCTATCCAACCCCTCTAACCAATCAATAAGCTCCAGGTTCAATGAAGGACTCTGTCTCAAAAACTAAGGTAGAGCGAGATGAAGGAAGAAGACACAGCGTTGATCTCTGGCCACCACACATGCATTCCCATATACATGTGCACACATCTAAACAGCACACGCAAGCTTAAAGTACTTCTGTAACAGTAAGTTCAGTGAAGCCTAGTGTATAATGTGTGGGGTTCAGCAGTGTTGGGAGCCCTCTCCACATTCTAGATGCTCAGCCTTCTCTTCTGGAAGATGAACACCATCCATGAATGTGGCCCTCACTGTACTGTTACAGCCTGAGCAGATACAGCACACGACCCGAAACACTCTCCTCAGGAGCAGGGAAGAGAAGCCTGGGCTTTTGCCAGGCTTCTACACCAAACAGGCATGAAAGCCCTGGCTCTGGGCCTCACCTACCCAACGCTGAGTGTAGCTTCCTCAGAGTGAGTTCCCTTTGGCAGGAGAAGAGCATGCCAGCTGCCCATTGTGCTGTGTCCTGTGGCGAGGTCAGCACTGTCTTCCTCCCACCCCCACCCCTGCTTCCCACCTCACCCCTGCTGAGGTCAGCTGCGCTTCTCATCAGCGCCAGGCACTCGGCCCAAGCAAGGTGCCAAACTGGGCCCTAAGATTCTAGGCTCTTCCATCCTCCCTCCTGGCCCTAAGGTTCTGGGCTCTTCCATCCTGCTGCTTCTTCCTTCTTCCCTGTACCTCTTTCGTGCTCCTGATCAGCCTTCAGAAGTTCCTGCTCAGCCATAGGGAGGAGGGGGAACCACTCTTTCTGCATGTGTTTCCTCATCTTGCCAGCCAACCAGAAGACATATATTTCCCCAGATCTGAGTCCCTGGCCAGTAGAACCTCCTTCTCAAGAAAGTGAAGCCCTAAGGGCAGTCCGCTTAGACCAAGCTGGCTCCCTCTCTTGAAAACAAACTTTAGCTGTATAATCACATAATTGTAAAGATTTAAACATTTGGGTTGTGGGGAAAATCAGGAGGATTTTCTGATAAAGGTGGGCTTTCAGTTTGCACACACTGCTGAAGAAACTGAACTTTCTAAAAGGCCACACTGAATGTGCTGGGTGTGATGGCACACCTGCACACCCAGCACTTGGTGGGTGGAGACAGGAGGATGCAGAGTCAAGATTGTCCTTGGCTGTGATAGTAAGTTAGAAGCCAGCCTAAACTTCATGAGACCCTGACCTCCCCCTCCCAATCAGTCATAAATATATCTCTGTTGAAAGATCTAAAACAAAATTTTAAGTCAAACTGAAAAAAAAACCTAGGTCATCTAGCTTGTGTGTTTGAATACTTAAACGTTTTTATATTACCTGAGGTGGAGAGGGGGTTATAGGAAACAGTGTACAGAAGAGGAAAGAAAATATCCAGGAAGCATAAGGTGATATGTAACAATGAGATACCATTTTGTATTCAAGTTGAAAAAGATTCTTAAAACCCATGATGTAATGAACACTAGTGATGTAGGAGGGGGCAGAGATGCCCATAGATCACCAAAGCCATGTTCAGGCAGCTTCTCTGAGACAGTTCTCGGGAGTCTCCAAGATGGCAGTACCCACTGACTGGGAATCCCCGTCCTACAGATCGAATGTGAAAAGGCAGTTAGAGGGAGGGACAGAGACTCATGCTTAGAGGTGTTCATGCTTCGCTGTAGGAAAATGGGAAATTAGAAACAACCTGAGCGTCTGATAGTGGCCGGCACATTAAGTAAATTATTTAATCTTCATAATGTGCAATTAGGCAGCCACTATAAATAAATTGCTTAGCAAAGGACTTCATAAAATAGGGTAACACACCCCATACTTCTGGGAGAAGACACTGGCAGTGTGTAGAATCTGGTGGAAATGTATGAAGTTAAAAAGAAAGAGGCAAAGAACAAGAAGGCTGAGAACGTAAGTGTGTGATTTGTCTCAGAATCATAAGGCAGAGCTCACTCCTGGTAGCAGGAATGCAAGCTAAATGGATACACTCCCCAGCATGGCAGTAGTCTACAGGGAGAGGTACGAGGAGCACATCCGTATCCATAGTGGTAGGAGTTCACCTACTCCAATGAACTCTGTGGCCTATACTTAGTAAAATTAAATGTGACCCTCCTCCCCCTAAGACTTGTATATGCTTCTGAGGATCACCCTGCACAAACATCATTTTCTACCAGGAAACATGTTCACAGCAGTATTGTTTATAATAGTCATATTGGTGATGTTGTATAATATCATAATATGTAACGTATTGGTGTGTATAGCCCAGCAGCAACAATGATTACTAAAAACTGGCTGTCCCAAGGACATGGCTAAGTGGAATATGACTTTACATAATGAGAGGCTATTAATGCGCTAGTTTGAAGAACTACTGGCTCAGATAAGTGTCTAAAGCAATGTCAAATGTAAAGAATAGGTCATATAAGAGACAGAGACCCACATTGGAGCACTGGACAGAAATCTCAAGGTCCAAATCAGGAGCAGGAGAGAGAGCACGAGCAAGGAACTCAGGACTGCAAGGGGTGCACCCACACACTGAGACAATGGGGATGTTCTATCAGGAACTCACCAAGGCCAGCTGGCCTGGATCTGAAAAAGCCTGGGATAAAACCGGACTCGCTGAACATAGTGGACTACTGAGAACTCAAGAACAATGGCAATGGGTTTTTGTTCCTACTGCACAAACTGGCTTTGTGGGAGCCTAGGCAGTTTGGATGCTCACCTTACTAGGCCTGGATAGAGGTGGGTGGTCCTTGGACTTCCCACAGGGCAGGGAAACTTGATTGCTCTTTGGGCTAACGAGGGAGGGGGACCTGATTGGGGGAGGGGGAGGGAAATGGGAGGCAGTGGCAGGGAAGAATCAGAAATCTTTAATAAATAAATAAAAATTAAAAAAAAGAATAGGTCATATAAAAGGTATGTATCAGCAATATGCTTTCATAATTCTTTAAAACAAACAGATTAGTACATAGTATTTAAGGGCATGCATATATATCTAAATATATGTGTATAAAAGTGTGGACACCAGCTTCAACACAGTGGTTACTGCTGCAGGGAGAAGGCCCAGAGGGAGGTCAGGCTTAAATGTTTTCTGAGTTGTTTGTTTTTAAGGAAAGGATTGAAGTGCATATGGAAAATTGGTAACTAAAGTTTTGAACTTAAATTAGGATGTCGTACATTGGTTTCCATGCTTTTCTGCATACTAAGGTATTTCAGAATTTCAAGTGGTTGTCTTAGGCAGGGAGGCTGAAACAATGTCTTTCTGTGCAGCCTAAGCTGGCATGGGACTCAGCGCCTCCTGTCTCCCTCCATGTCTCAAGAGTTGAGGTTATGAGTGTCTATGGGAAGTAGCCGTGGCCCAAGTGAGAAGCTGTAGCCTGAGCCAGAGTAGTAGCAGCAGAGAAGGAGGGACACAGGAGAGACTGGAGCTGTTCTTGGTGGGGGAATTAGCAGGGCTCAGTATCTGGTCACATGTTGGGGTGATGGTGGAAAGCCAGGCTTCAAGCATGAAGAGCTGTGGAACAGTGGGGTACACTGACTTGAGGTGGGGCAGGGAAGGTGGGCCTTGAGCATACCCTGTTAATGGCCACAAGCTTTGGGTGTTATGGTGATATCTGTGCCCTCTCTCCCACAGGTGACAAGTGTTGTGCCTGGGGCTGGAACGAACATGGCATGTGTGGGGATGGCACTGAGTCCAATGTCTGGACACCATCTCCAGTGCAGACTCTCCAGTCAGCGAGACTCCTCCTCGTGGGCTGTGGGGCTGGCCACTCCTTGGCCTTATGTCAGCTGCCAGCACACCTTGTGCCATGCCAGGATCTCAAGGTCACCTACCCACTCCACACTGCCACAGAGAACACTGAATCTCAGGATGCCATGGACAAAGAGAAACTGTAAGGATAGATGATCGGGAACTTTAACCCAGAGCAGTTCTGACCAGATGAGCCACGAATGCCCATGAAAGAGCACCTTTTTAATAAAGCGACCGATCCCAACGAAGATCCCTGGAGAACCTTCCCGTCAGTCAGCAAATGAGGAAGGGATCCTCACTAAAGGACATGCAAAGTGAAAACATCAGCAAGGAAGGCTCCAGCCCCTGAGTGATCTCAGCCCAGCTCCATGGCTGTGCTCTGGTCCAGCGGCCTTTGGTCAGAAGACGGGGCTTCTAGGATATGTTTAGAGCAGCGTACTATCCCTTCTAACTTGGGGGCTTATTTTCTGTCCAGAGTCTATTGCTTCTGGTACCAGGTACTGTGCCTGGAGACTCTGAAAGGAAGGCGCTCACATCTTCACGACCAGGGCCCCAGCAAAGGCTTAGGGTCAGGTAGGGAGAATGAAATGGGGGAAGTGGAGAGTATGCAAGGCTTCTGGGAACACCCAGCAGAGAAAATCCCAAGTGCAGACAGGGTGTCTGGAGCCAGGGAAACTCTCAGAAGATGGATAAGTCTTCCTCCAACCAGGCAGGATTCTGGGGCTGCTGTAGCAGGTGAGCTGTTAAGTCTCTGAGTTGGGATGCCTGGACTCTACTGGACATTAAAGCTGAGGGACCTTCCATCAACATGTAGTTGAGAGGCCTCTAAACTACATCCTGCAGAGTCTGGCATGGTGGCACATGCCTTTAATGCCAGAGCTAGGTGCATCTCCATGAGTTTAAAGCCAGCCTGGTGTACATAGCGTGTTACAGAGTGAGACCTGTTCTGAGCCTTGGGCATCTCCTTGTAGACAGAGTACCACCTCCAGGTTCCTCTAGGCAGTGTTAATTTTGTCTTTACATTATGTATTGTGAGCTGCATAAGATTGTATTTGATAAGTGGGTCCTTAAGAAATTGAAGAAATTGCTGATCTTATTCAACCATTCTTGTTTTTCATCAGGAGAAAATAGTGGCTATAAAAAGGGGGAAGGGTCATCTCAAGGTCACGCACCTCCCTGATGGTTCAGGGTGACCCAACCATAGCCCTGAGCTAGGCAACAGTGGATAGGAAGTAGCTAAATGACTAGAAGTGGGTTCTTCTCAGAAAACATGGATGAAGTCAGTTCAGACTCCACAGGCCTGAGCCTAGGCACTGCTTGCAGCTACAGTCTGACCTGCAACCCAGTGATTTGAGTCTTGCTCCCGACTTTTGGCCCAAGAACTATGCCCTGTTCCATACAACCCCACCTCCCAGGCCCAGAGGCCTGTTGCAGCATATGTACTCTGATATGCTCAAGCCCACAAAAATGGAGCCATCACCCAGGGGTAAGCCATACTGGAGCAAGCTCAAGGTTACTGTCTTCTAAGCTAAATAGTTGGCAAAAACCAGGCCAGAAAACATTCCCCTGTGACCCATACTGCCTCCAGTTTCCAGTCACAAGAAACAACACCGTCTTGCCCAGAAGCCCACAAGGCAGAGCTCCCTCCTATCTCTTTCAGCACTGCTGGAAAAGCTCAGCACCCTGCGCTTCTGCTGCTGGAACCTAGTACCTTATTTGCAGGAGGCAGAAGCATCTTTGCGTCTTGCATAGGATCAGCATATGAGCCCTAAGTCCTTTGATCCCTAACCTCAGATGCTGACAAGTGTGTCAGAGCCTTCTGGCTGCAGGCCCATGCAGGAAGGAGTGGCTCCATGGCCCATCACCTCACCTCCACTCCCGTCCTGCACTTCCTGATGGCCGCGTGGCCAGAGGCCCTTCTTATTTCACTGCCTGTCTCCAGTGAGGGAAAGCACCTATCAGAGATGAAGAAGGACGTGTCTAGATTTCCCCCCTGCATCCTTTGGTGGCTATTTGTCTTTCTAAGACTTTGTCCAAGTTCCCTTTCCAGGCAGTCCATGAGGGAGCCAGCTCCTAGTCAGTTTAGAACTTAGCAAACTGTAAACGAATGATCTTCTCAGTGTCCCTGTGGGTCACCATGGAGTGAGGAGGCTAACTGAGCAAGCTCTGAGATCCCACCCTTATCCGCCCTCCACTTTATTACTCTGTTTACAGCTCTCTGAGAAACAGTCTCCAGGTCCCATAGCCATTTGATAGTTCCACTTCACCTGCCATGTTAGACCCATTAGGGGCATAGGAGCTTATTTGAATAAGAGCTCATTTAAAAAAATACATTTTCCTGATTGAATAAATAAATTTGCCTTCATTTCCTACCTTTGCTCCTCATGAGAAGAACGACCCCATTGTGCACTTCCAGGCCTTTGAGCAGGCCCTGGAGTAAGTGGTGAAGACCCAGTATGCAACAGCTTTGCCTTCCTACTTCCCACACCCACTCTTCCCTCTGGTCATGGATATCCACCTTCCCTTGACATATCTGCCATCTTTGGCCATACTGGGTCCTCACATGCCTGCCAAGTCCATTAAAATAACTTCAGATGGTGGGTTGGCTAGTCTTATGTCAATTTGACACAGGCTAGAGTCACCTGAGAGGAGGGAACCTCAGCTGAGAAAATGTCTCCATAAGATTGAGTTTCAGGAAAGCCCGCAGGATATTTTCTTAATTAGTGACTGATGAGGGAGGGCCCAGTGCATTATGGGTAGGACCACCTCTGGACTGGTGGGCCTGGGTTCTATCAGGAAGGAGGCTATGCAAGCCATGAAGAACAAGCCAGTAAGCAGCACCCCTCCTCGGCCTCTGAATCAGCTCCTGCATCCAGGATCCTGCCCTGTTTGAGTTCCTGCTCTGATTTCCTCCAAAGATAGACTATGGTATGGAAGTGTGAGCTGAATTAAAAACCCTTTCCTCCCCGACTTGCTTTTGGTCATAGTGCTTTATCATAGCAATAGAAACCTTAACTGAGATGGGTGGCACGTCCTTGGGGACACTCTGGATGAAGTGACGCTGTGGGAGGTAGTGTGGAGGAGCTGCAGGTCATGTCAGACTGCTGAGTATGGCTGCTGCAAGTCCAGAGCTGCCTCACTGCAGCACAGGGTCGGCAGAGGCGAGGGCAGGTGGGGGAGGGGGGCTGCTGGCCTAGAAAACCAGCTGAGGGAGGCAGTGTGAGCAGCATCCATTAGGGTAGCAGGGTGTTTCGGCAGGAGTGAGCTGGCCAGCTGTGGATCAGGAGAGATCTTGCTCAGAACATGAAGTGGCCCCTTCTGTCACACCTATGGCATTCCATGAAGGAGGGCAGGAGGCCAGATCCAAAGAGTCCTAGATTCAGAACCCATAACTTCAGTATTTCACCATCAAGGACCAGCCCCACAAAGTCCTTAGCTCGAAACAGCGCAACCTGAGCTCTGGAGGCAAACCACCCAGGTTATGATCCTGACTTCACCTTAGCTGGGATGTGTGGCTTTGGGGCAGTTGTTTTCCCTGTCTGCACTTTGTTATCTCGGCTATAATCTGGGGTGATTAGGCTGCTCTGAGCTGGTGTTAGGCAATGTTTTTGAGATGCCCACATAGTAGATCCCCTCTAGCTGTGGTGTCCCTAGGCTTATATTGCAGATGACTGTGTTATTCAGCAAAGCCCCATCTTCCTAGCAGATCTCTGACTCATGTCGACACTGGTCTTACGCTGCTTCGCTGGGGTATCCTGAGACTTGGCTATGAGATGCCTGGGCCTCTAGAGGCTCCATCAACCCCACCCCCTGGGTTCTTGCACTGGGTACCAGGAAATTGAGACAAGCTCTTAGAGAGGTGAGAAGCTAGTGGGTAAAACCCATCCATGGGCTCACAGACTCTGGCTGTGCTGGGAGGTGACATCTTTATGCTGATGGCCCTGGGCAGCTTGCTGCCTTCTCTGGCCTTGTCTCCTCATCTTCAGATGCTCAGGGGCTGACTGTATAACCTCTGGGGTCTCTTTCCATATGAGCATTCTAGAATTCTAGCGGATGAGGAAGAATCAGATCTTCCATTCCACCCCACACCCAAACCTGCAAGTGAGTTTCCCCAGAGCAGATCATACTTTTTCCAATGTGTGTCCAGGCTGAGAGGAGTATTCAATGAGGTAGTCTCTAGACCAGGCTCTGCAAGTTGGCCAGGGCACCCAGACCTGACAGACCCAACGTAGTCCTAGCAGGGAGTTGCTCAAGGTTGCACAGGGCAACTAGATGCTCCGGCAAGGCTAATGCAAGGATCCACAAGATGAGTCATAAAACCATCCAGGTGACCCCCACAAAGGGTGTGCTTTTGTCCCTTAGCCCAGCAGTATCTGCAGCCCTACCCTGCAAGGAACAGCATCCTCAAAGCCCAGTGACACCTCAGCTTAAATGTCTACAGTAGTAGTCGGGCCCATGATTGGCTCAGTCGTACCAGAACAGAATGGAGATCTGCCTGAAGGCAATAAAAACTCAAGTCAGTGCTTCATCTCAGAAGTCAGCTTTTTATTTCCAGGGCCAGGGCCCAGGGAGGGGAGGTTGCTGTCTTTCCAGGAAATGTTGCAGTGGAAACTCGAGATGTTGCATTTTTTTTCAACTTGAGCATGTGTTTTTCAAAAATATCATCCTTTCCCCCACACACACTAATTTTAGAATCAGACCAAAGCCAAGCTACTGTCCTCTGTTTCTGTTGGGAAAATACTATATTTATTCGAGATGCAGAAGCGCGTCTCTGCAAACCTCCGATTGCTTCAGAAAAACAAATCTGCTTTAGACTAGACAGAAACCATGTTACAAAATTTATTTCATGCTCGAATCTCTTTGCATAACATTGGGCATGCAGTTTTTGCTTTTTATGCTGAAGTACTAAATTGCATACAATGCCAGGTTATGCCTTAGTAAAGGTGGAGGGGAGGCGCCCCTCAGGTGGTCCTGAACTGGAGGTACTCTACATCCTGGCTTTAAAATGACATTGGAAAATCCATATGGTGTAACTATGAACAATTCATTATGAAACTCGGTCACACTGGATCTACACAGCGAGATGAGAATCAGCCTAAACTAGCCGCTTGCCGGGGTCTTGGGAGGCGTCCGCTGGCTCACAAGCATGCCAGAGATGGAGGGGAGCAGCAGTGTGAGTCCCCACAGTTCTATTCGGAGCAAAGTTCTCTGTTTTCCGCGTGAGAGATGAGCTACGAAGGTGAGGTCAATGTGACCAATGACTGACTACCTTTCTGAAACCTTTCCTCTGGGTCTTGTGTACAAAAAGCAATCCATTCCCCGGCCCCATCCTTCTTCCCTGGCCCCCTACTCCCAGAAATGTACAGATTTCTACCGAGTGCCATTACAGTTTGGCTCCGACGCCGTGTGTCAAAATAAAGAGCGCTGAAAGAAAGGCCCCTTGATTTCTCTCCATTCGTGGTGGTGGTGAGGGGAATCATACAGTCACAGCAGGGGCTGGTGGGTTTGGTTTAGCTGGGTTTTCTGTTTAACTTCATGCAAGTCATGCTAAGGCTTCCCTTCACCCCCCTCCCCAAAGAAAAGGTAACTTCTAAGAAAAATGAAGGAAGGGTGATCCGCTACGGTCAGTTACCAATGGCCGTAGAAAAAGCTACGTCCGTCTTAGTACAATGCCTGGGCCACTCGGACTCGTCCGGCAAACCTGCATGGCGTGAATTTACTCTGTCCGAGGGTGAGGAGGGGCTGCAGGTCCACCCAGATGCTTAATAGCCACCAGTGTCCTCGGCCAAGCCGCCTGGTCAAGTCACTCTCACAGCCTCTGTCGGCATATACTTAGCAATGACAGGGCTTTCTTTGCAAAGATCTGTATGTAGAGAATACAATTAACACTTGAGCTCCTCTTCGTGCCTCCCTCCCGCTCGGTACTTAGTTGTTAAGGAAGGAGGAGGAAAGACTGAACAGCCACATGCAGAGGCAGGCAGGTTCTTCTCCAGCTGGCTTGTTTCCCATGCAGCGAACCAGCCTAGCAGCCTCTTTCTCTTCCCTCCTTGGGGGGACAAGTGAAGTCCCTACTTCTGCTCTGGACCTGTAGACCTAAAGGGCTCTGAATCAGCCAGAGCAAAGCAAATTCTCGTCGCTCTCAGGAGCCATGAGAGCCGGGCTGGGTGAACGTGTGTGGGGCCTTCACCCTTGGTGCCTCCCAAAGAGTCCAGCACCCGAACCCAGGTGGGTTCTGAGACTGGGGATTGCCTATGGATGGGGGTTGCACTCAACTCCCTAGCACTACTAGGAGATTAGGTGCTTCTGCAAGCACAGTAGAGACACTCTGTTCTCTTAGGCCACACCAACCGATCCAAGACAAAGGAGCCAGGCAGCCCGTGGGGCTTTACTGGGCAGGGCACAGCCATGGAGATAATTCCCCCCCCCCTTATTCTTCGGGGTGGCCCTGCTCCTTGGCATTCTAGAGGCTTTACCTGGAAAAAAGCCAGTTGCAAAGAGAGCAGCGGACCCATCCATGTCAAGGATGGAGCCCTTCTCAAGACTGGTAGCCCTCTGCCATGCAGCATCATGCAGGGAGTGGCACACCGCACTGAGGTCCAGGGGACCTCAGGCAGGGCAAACAAGCAGAGACCAGCCTGAATCAGGTGGGCATAACTAAGCAATCGTGCGCAACCCAAAGAACTTTCCCTCATCTTGGTGTATGCTGCCTCTCCTCTCCTAGGTCTGCCTTTGATCCTTGAAGTCTGTCTTCTCCTTGTGTCTGGCTTAACTGTTTCCACCACTAGTACAGTTGACAGAGGCCACAGACTACACACCAGGTGTTACTCTCAAGAATCTGACTCCTGTCTGTCCTACCCTGCTTGCTGTCAGCATGCGACTGTGTGAGCATTTGAGGCACAAAGATACGTGCATGCGCTTCCCAGCTAGTCTGCCGCACTGAGAAAGGCCCAGGCCAGTGCCTGTAGCCCTATGCGGACTGCCCTAAGCTCCTCCCCAGCACTCAGCCCAGCCCATGCTAAACTTCTCCAAATCCTGACTGCAAGAACACCACTGACTCAGCCTTCACCAGTCACAGAGGGGCACTGACCACCCATGGGTCCGCGGAAATGTGCTCTGGCTATGGAAAGGGCTATACAAAGTCCCATTGATATACCTTGTCTTGGTAGGTTTTCTGTTTCTCATCTTCAGTATTCTGACTGTCACACAGCTTACTTCTACAAGGAGAGTGGCCTTATCCCCCAGCTCCAAAGCCACCTCTCTATGAGGCCTTCCTTTCCACTGGCCTGCAGATTCTCTTTAAAGGGTTCTTCTACCATAGCACAACCTGAAGACTAAACTCACAGGGTGGTGGCCAAGCCCTCTACAACTAAAGGCTAGGAAAGAACACTGCCGTTTGGATTTGCTCTACAGCACAAGAAAACTCTGGAGGAACTGAGACGCCCCCTGTCTTCTTAGGTACCTCCTTGGCTTGGGTTTACAGCCCATGGTCATCCACTCTGTGCCAAGCCCCTTTCTACCATTTATCCAATACTAACCTACAGCTAGCTACCTGGGCCTCAGCCTCTCTCTCTACCAACCTGGCATCCCCCTCTGGAAAGGACTCTGACCTCTAGAGGCCAAGCTTGGGGGACTCCCTCCATCATTGCCCCCTTAGTGTGCCTGCCTACCCCTCAGCGCCCCTTGCCCACCTCCCTGCCCACCCTTCTGCAGGAGCGCAAGGCGGGCCCAGCCAATGCAGAGAGCTCCAGCTTCCTCTACATACCCTTTCTCATTCCTCCACCAGGTGGGCACGCGTACTCCCCAGTTGATAAGAGGAAGCAGGGTCCGTATCTCTCGCGGGTGCCCGAGCGGGTAAAGGGCAGGCCCTCATCGGGAGTGAGGGCCTGGTCTATGTGGGGGCAGTCTTCGTTCGCCAGCGCGGCCTTCGCCACCTCCCCATTCAGTTTGGAATCTTCAAACATATAAGCAGAAGCTATTGAGACACTGAAAACTGTTTAGTGAGAGGGGGTGACAGGCCGAAGGGAGGGCATTTGACAAAGAACTCCCGTTCCTGAGGATGGAAAGGGGCGGGCGGGCGGGACAGTGCACGGCTGGGGCCGACTGCTGACAGGTGCAGGGAGGAGACACTCCTGGGTTTGCTCAAAGTTTGCAAAAAGATGAATTGGTGATGAGCCTGGCAGGTGGGCCCAAGGCAGGGTAATGAGACAGGATGATGTGATGTATTCATGGGGAGAGGGTCAGACACACAGCTCAGGGAGAAGACAGACACTCAGAAAGGCCCCAGTCCAGAAAGGTAGCCTTTCAGACCCCCCCACTCCTAACCAGCCCCTGGCTGTCTCCCAGCAACATTCGCCCTCGGCCCAGCTGGACGCCATTTGACCTCCCCCATGACTCCTCTAGCCAATCCCATTGCAGCATTTGGTTCCTGCCGCATCCCCACGTCTGATCACTCGGCTTGCTCCCAGCACCCCATCTGGACCCAGCTCATCCATCAAGGTGCCCTAGCCTTCTTCTCTGTCCCCACGGGACCAAATCTGGTGCCTCTATAACTTTACCCATACAGACTAGGCCTGCTCACACCTTCTCTCCTGTAATCACAGGGACAGTCTGGTCCCTCAGATTCCCCATCCCCTCAACAGGCTTGCCTGGACACATATTTTACACTGTCCCCTTTTTACCATGTTGTGCCCCATAGGAACTAAACTGGCCATACCTCTGTTTTGTCCTCACAGGAACCCGATCTGTTCTCTCTGAGACTGTCCTCTACCCAGATTAAGCCTGATCACACCTTCTACGCTGTTCACACAGGTGCCTCTGAAATCGGGTGCCTCTGAAACTACGTCCTATACACAGATAAGAGCTGGCCACACCTGTACTGTCTCTACAAAGACCCAATCAGGTCACTTCAGTTTCCCGTTCCTCATACTGACTAGGCCTGGGTACACGTTTCGCCGCCCCTCTAAGGACCCAATCTGATCGATCTACTCCATTTCTCCATGCGGATTAATTTCCTGTGTACCCTCACAGACCCAATTAGACCCCTCCATCTGCTCTGTCCCCATGCAGACCTACACTATGCCCACACACATCAAGCAGTGTCTCCACAGACCCCTCCGGGGACCTGGTCAGCTCGCACAACAAAGGTATATGCATATGCATGAGGCAGTGAGAGCTGGACAGGGATGTGGGAGGGGCCCCCATTGCTGTCCCTTCTGCCAGCATTCCTGGCAGAGCAGAGCAAAAGGGTGTGCAGGAGGCAACAGACGCTGATGGCCTTGGGTGGGAGACAATTTGAGGCTTGGCCTCTGTAGTGGCCTAAGGAGGAACCTGGGAGGGAGTCGCAGGGGGACACGTATGCTGGAAGGCAAAATGTGGCCACAGGCAGGCACCCTGGCCCTCTTAACTTCAAAGATCTGGTGGCCTTCAGCACATGGCAGAGGTGACTCTGACTGACCTTTGTCCCCCATCTCTGCCCCTCTTGGGGACTTTGCCAGAGTGAAGCCCACTCAAGTGCTGCATATGGGGAAGCCTCATATGGGAGCCTGTTAGGGAAGGAAGGAAACCAACCTGGGAATGTGTTAGGGGTGGCTCTCTGAAGGAAAGCTGGGGGGAGGTCCCCCTGGATTTGACCCTCTCCCATGATCCTGTTCACATCACGTAACTACACGCAGGAGTGATCCTGCGTGCACACACGTGGCATGCACGTGGGTGGGATCACCACCGTGTACGTCATGTCACTACAAAGAGGCAGTCAGTCAAAAGAGAAATGGACCAATCAGGTTTATTCATAAAGCAAATCCAAAAAAAAAGTTTCCCATCATAATTTTGGAACTTAAAAAAGTCTGTCGTACAAGATGGCAAGGCATTTCACGTACAGTGCATTCCTTGAAGATCCCAGGGCCTTCGCTCCTGATTGACTCTGAACCAGAAAGGCCAGTTCCTAGGGAAACTTTGGCACCATGTGACAAGCTGGGGGCTGCCTAGCAATGGAGCGTGTCTGTGGGCACACACATGTGCCTACAGACATGCATATCCTCCCTTACGTTCCATTTGGCTCTCGTCTCCCTCATGGAGGCTCTGTGGGCTGGAAGGACAGTGTTGGGGCGATGGGGGATGTGGTATGGTGAGGAAGGGGGTTGGAAGCTGGGGTCCGTGTGCCTCGAATGACTTTTTCTTCGGGGGAACATTAGTGGCTTCCAAGTGCATCTTCTCCAGCTGGCGAAGATGCTCTTGAGTGGGCGTCCCCAGCCTGCTCTTCTTGTCCAGGGTCAAATAGTGACTGTTCCTTTCTGCCTCTGCCTCCATAGAGTCAGCGCAGCCTGAGACCCCTCTTCTGACACTGAGTCTCTGCCTACATTGTTGCCCCCTACCCCTGGGCTCCCACCTTGAACTGTAAAAGGTTTGAAAGTGGGGCAGATCCTCGGGTGGGGGGGCAGAGGCAAGGAACAGCCAACCGGAATCTAGGGGACAACATGATGGGCGGTTTCTAGGATGTCCCTGGAGCCTGCTTTTTCTCTCAGCCTCAACCTTTGGAAAGGGATCTATGGCTGAATGGCTGTTGTTTTACCTGCAGTTGAAGATGCTGTCAGCAAGCGGGCCATTCTCCAGTCCCAAACTTCAGTGCGGATGGCCAGAAGAGAAAATAACTAAAGAGGCCAATTGTCTAAACCTGAGGAACCACGAGAAACGCCACGGGGTGCAAGGTCGCTGAGTCCCCACCCACCTGCTCGTCTCCCCTGGAATGAAAGAGCAGCCTAGGTTCCCACTTGCTCTCACAGACCTGGGGCTGCCTCCCCTGGCCCAGGACCCCAGAATGCCACTACCCCACAGGCCCGCGATGATGAAATGGCAGCATGGGCAGCATCTCAGAGGATGATTTCAAGGCTTTGAAATGAACGGAGATGAACATCTGTGACAGGGTCATTTTTTTTTAAACTTTGGAGCAAGGAGAACCTACATGGCCAGGCCCTCTGTCAGCAGGCCTGCTTTTCTGCCATCTCCAGACACTTCTGACGTACTTACTGTTCACATCAGCAGCGGGCACCACCAGGCGCACGCAGGACTGGACAGGGGTTAGTTGGGCTGGGCATTGCCTTGGGTTTGCCCCAGAGGGGTCTGCTCAGCTGGGACTCAGGGGAAACATCTCAGGCTAAAGGGGGACAAGCTGTGAGAGACAGTTGTGGGGACCACCACACTCAGTCAACAAAACAAGAGAGAGAGAGAAACATGATTAGCGGAGAGGGGGAGGGGATATGGAGAACACAGAAAAGAGCGCCCATGCTGGCCATTCAAAGTCACCTCATTTCCTCTCGGATCTCCCTTTGCCCACTCGGGCACTGTGGACTCCACTCGGGGTCCAGGCCGCCAGCCCTGAAGCTGGATTCTCTTTAACCACCTATCTGGCCGTCAGTTCTGTCCCCAATACTGCCACCCTCCCTCCCTCGGGGTCTAGCGCTAGTCCCAGGCAAGTGCTGTAGCCCGAGACAGGACAGCTGGAGGGCCCAAAGAGAGGGGGATTTAGATTCTGAGGCTCTCCCTGCAAAGAACACCCTGAGGCTGCAGCGGTAGCTCCTGGAGGGAGGAGGGGGGTCTTCGAGACATCACTTTGGCTCCACATACTCCCAGGCAATGAGGGAACCAGACCTGGCCACCTGCATTCCTCTTTACCCCTTATGCTGGGACCCTAGAACCCTGGACTCCACACCACAAAGGACTGACCCACCCCACAGGAGCAGACACAATAAGACACACAAGAATGGACATGGCAGGACAGGGGACAACAGACATTCCAAGCTACCCAGAGCAAATGGTTGACCCCACTGTAAATGGGGAAGGGAGCCCCTTCCAGGAGAAGGGCAGCTTCTCCAGGGAGCTCAGTCCCAGACACTCCCTCCCTGTGCCTCCCATGACCAGGTGAGATCTAAATCCTTGGAGCCCCTCGGGGAAGATCCCACAAATACTGAGGCCATTCAAATCATGGCCCAAAGAAAGAGATCACCATGTCCCTGGGACAGACAAACTGCGGCTTCAGCAGTGACTGAAATGTGGAGGGGAGGGGAGAGAGCTGGAAGCCCAGCATTCTGGTTCAGTCCCTGGCCCAAGAGTTCAAAATGGAAGTAGAGAAAACTCTGGGTAAGGGCCTGCTCGACTGTCTCTGCTGAAGGACCCCACAGGACCTCATCGCCCACATCCCCATAAGGTCTGTCTCTACTCACCATGTGTGCCTTCTCCAACTCTGGCTTCTCCCCTTCTCCCCTCCACCCCAAGCCCATGCAGGGGTTGAATGAGAAGGGAAGTGTGGCACAAGGGTGGCTAAAGACAAGCCTAGGAACCTCATGTGCCCCTGACAATAGATAAGCCTGGTCTCACTCGTGTTGGAGGTGAGCAGTGTTCCGGTGAAAGATGAGGCTCTAGGTGGACTGGAATCTTAGAGCTGAGGGGCTGGGCTAGGCTGAGCATCAGGACAGCACCAAACAGCAAGGGAAAGAGAGGGGAATAGTGTGTGCGGAGGAGGTGGAAAGGAAAGGAACTTGAGCTTGGAGAGCAAGTCATAAGACTGCCCAAACCAGAGCTCTCTGTGTTCCTGAAACCTGGAGCCAGGGGCAAGGTGCTCTCAGGGGAAGGGCTGAGGAACCCAGAGGAAACCTCACAGGAATTCACAGGCTCTGTGGATCTGCTGCAGCAACATGAGGAAAGAGCTAATATCCCTAGGACTAGCTGAATGTATGTGTGTGTGTGCGCGCGTGCGTGCACGTGTGTGCATGTGCACCCTCAGTACATGGGAAATTATGTCACTGGGTGTGCAGAGCAATCTCTGCTTGGCTAGAATGAGCTGGGGTCACCAAAGGTTGACCTGGGGCTCCGTGTCTAGAGCACCGATACTGACTGACAGTGTTGGGGAAGATGAATCCGAAGGGTTGAGTAGGGTCATGTAATGCCCCTCTGGCTGAGCACTTCCTACCGGCGTGCACAGTGGGGCTCACCCAGAGCTGAGGAAACTGTCCTTGCTCTGCTGGTGGCTCCTGGGGTAAAATGGCTAACTAACTCAAAACAAAAGGTTATGCCTGGAGCTTCCCATGAATGGAGACATGGCTAGACCAGGTCTCTACCTCAGACCTCCTGCACTCCCTGCTCCAATCTAGAACACAAGTTTACATTTTACTTATGTGCCTACAGCAATCTCGGAAAGGAGAGGGCATGGGATTGGGTGAAAGGGCTGGAATGACCCATGGCCGGAGAAGTAAGCCATGGGACATTGCTCAGGCTGCTCCAGCCAGTAGGAGAAAGGACTTTGATGGGAAGGTGAATCAGATAGCACACAGTAGTGAAGGACATCAATCACCCACTGAGGGAGGTCACCCACATGAAAGAGAGAGACTCTCTCACCTGAGGCTGAGCTAGCTGGCAGCCCCCTGGGAGACCCAGGCATGGGGTGCTCTCCATAGACTAAATGAATCTAACAGCACACACCAACCTCACACTCACCAAGCGCCTCTTAGATCAGGGTCACCATTCTTCTCTGGGTCATCTGTTCCTTGGAGATCCCTGTGTCCTCAGAGTAGCCAATGGGATTCCATGGGTAGAGGTAGACTATGGGTTTTCATCTTCAGACCAGAGCCCCATGGTCAACTTTATGTGCTATGTGCAGGTTCTCATAAAACTGAGATAGTCCCATAATGAACCACTAGCCATGGAATATGAGAATATATCCCTCAGTGACTAGTATTGTTTCCCCCCACCCCCACCCCATCTCCCAGTGAATTCATGGGTAAGCGGTTGGCATGTCTTGTATTGCTGCTGCTGCAGTCCCTACTGCTAGAATCGGGGACAACTCTCAGTGGTGGGAGGTTCTTGCTGGTCCCTAATGCTTTCAACCTCGCTGCCCGGGGTGTGGCCCCCCTCTAGGCCTTTGCTCACCAGCCTCTTCTATCAGAAGGTCACTGGAAACTCCCACTGGACCATCAACCCAAACAGACAACGTGAAAGCCAGAGTCACTCAACAGATTCCTAAAGGTAAGTGCTAAGCTCTAGTGGTGGCAGAGGATGAGTTGGTTTGGCATGCTGTGGGGTAAGTAAGCTTGTCACAGGCTAGGGGCAACTCCTAGCAAAGACCTGGAGCCACGTGGCAGGAGTCTACTCGGCTACAGAGACAGCTTCTGCTCGGGCTGAGAATCCTGACTGCTGCCTTTGCAGGGACCCGGCTGGCCAGATCTCATGTACCGCTCTGCCAGTCCACAGCCTGAAGGCATCCATGTTAAAGACCAAATCAAAGGCTGTGTGGTGTCTCTGAATCACACCCACTCCCTCCCTGCCCACCACGGGTCAGTAGCCTGTCAGAGACTTAGGCCTGACTCCTCCTGACCAAGCAGCAGCCTCTGGGCTCCTGCTAAGAGTCCTCAGCAAGTGTGGGGGTCTCTTCAGAACTTATGAGACCAACCACGTCAACCTCCTTACCCAGAGCCATCAGTAAGGTTCCTCTAGCAAGCTCTTGACTTCCGAATTTGGCGGCCAAGCGTCTCCCTGGGGTCCCAGGCTCCACACCTCAAGATTGGGCACAGGGTCCTGGGTCACCCACAGAACTAAGGAAGCAGTCTGACTGAATCTGGAATCATTGCTACAGGGGGCAGAGGTTAAAGGTCAGATCGACATGCCTCTAAGAGGTTTCCTACCTGCTCTGTTAATTTCTAAAATTTCTTCCTGGGCCAGCGGACATGTGTCACTCTGAGTACTGTGGTGAGGAGAGTTTACGACAGATTTACAGTAATTGGGAGATCCCAGCTGTGGTGCTCGTGGAATATGCTTCTTTTTTTTCTTTGGTAGTTTCTGCTTAGCCATGGCTAAAGAGTAGTACATCCCGAAATTGTTCACGATGACGGGTACCGGCATGGCAATGGTCAGCACTCCTGCCAGGGCACACAGCGCCCCCACCAGCATCCCAGACCACGTCTGAGGATACATGTCTCCATAGCCCAGGGTCGTCATGGTGACCACAGCCCACCAGAAGCCGATGGGAATATTTTTAAAGTGTGTGTGCTCGCTGGCGCTGGGGTCATTGGGCTGTGCCCCTATCCTCTCAGCGTAGTAGATCATGGTGGCAAAGATGAGGACCCCCAGGGCCAGGAAGATGATGAGCAGCAGGAACTCGTTGGTGCTGGCACGGAGCGTGTGGCCCAGGACCCGAAGGCCCACGAAATGGCGGGTCAGCTTGAAGATGCGCAGGATGCGCACGAAGCGGACGACGCGCAGGAAGCCCAGCACGTCCTTGGCAGCTTTAGAGGACAGGCCACTGAGGCCCACTTCCAGGTAGAAGGGGAGGATGGCCACAAAGTCAATGATATTGAGTGAGTTCTTGATGAACTCCACCTTGTTGGGACAGAAGACAACACGCATAAGGAACTCGAAGGTGAACCAGACCACACAGACGCCCTCGATGTAGGTGAGGAAGGCCTCGGTTTCTGCTTCCCGGTAGTATCGCACTTGGGTGCCATTTTGAACATTCTCAATCTCCGTCTTGTTCACGATGGGGTTGAACCGCTCATGGGTCTCCAGACAAAAGGTTGTGATGGAGACCAGGATGAAGAAGAGGGAGGCCAAGGCCACATACTGTGGGCGAGAAACACAGGTGTCAGAGTAAAGGCTTCCCACTCAGCGTGGAGAAACCTGGCGTGTGTTGTGTTGGGCCCAGGCAGACCGCCACATGAGGAGCAGCCCAAACACAGAGCTCCTTCAGCACAACCCAGGCCAACCTGCAACCCTAGCCTCCTTGGAGCCCTGAGGGGTAAGTGCTGCTGCCGAGCCAGGCCTGCACAGCCTGCATCCCTGTTCACCTGTTCCTCCTTTCCCCGCTGCCAGCCAAATCATAAGAGGGAAGGAGCCTGGCTACATTAGGATGAGCTGCCAATAAAGACTCTGATGAAAAATAAAAACAAAAGAAAATAGCCAAAAGCTTGTTGAGCCGCTGAATTCTGAGGTGTCTGTCATGGCATTTAGCTACACTGACTGAGACTGGACTGAGGTGTGCAAAGAAACACAAGGAAACCACTCTACTGGACCCGGGCCTTTGGGAGGTGTGTCTGTTTCCTTTGACTCCACTTCATCTACTTAAAGACACCCACACACACACACCCCGCAATTAGCAGCAGGAAGTCAAGTGCCTTGTCCTTAGTTTGGGTTAACCCTGGCCCTCCTCCCCATCCCATGTGCTCTGGGAGGCCCAGAATTGCTAGGTTGGGTTAACCAAAACCCTGAGTCCTGGAGCCCAACCCGCCAAAGGATCTGGGCACCAAGAACTAAGAGGATCCTCCAGATCATGTTCTGGGCATCAGGGAGGGGAGAGGAGAGTAGGAAAGACGGTGTTATAAATTGACAGCAGTCTCATGAGAGGATGCCGTATGCTCCCCGAGCCCACAGACAGGAAGAGACTGTGTAAGCTGCTGCTCACAGCTGATGGCATCCTGTTAGCTGAATAGCAATGCAGTTTTCAGAACCTCTTCTCACAGGCTACTATCAAATGCAGTCCATTTGCATCCTTCCATGAACTGATGTCTCCTTGCCATCCACCCATCTTCCTTCCGTCCTTGCTCCCTTCCTTCTGCTTTCCCTCCCATTTCTCCATCCTTTTCTCTATCCGTGCACACATCCATCTATCCACTCGTCCTTCCTTCTATCCTCTGCTCCACGCCTTCCTTCTCCCTGCCCATATACTGCTCACCAGCCTTTGGTTCACCCATCCATCCTTTCTTCCCACCACACTTCCCCGGACACAGGCTCTCAGGGAGCTCCCTGTTCAGCTAAGGAGGAGGACACACACAAGGACAGAACAAAGCAGCGGGTTGAGTATGAGTCCCTGCACCCTGTGAAGCCTTAGGGGCTGGAAAAAGCTGATGGAAGCAGGATAGAAAAGAAGTCTTCTCAATCCAGGAAGCTCTTCTTTCGGGATCCAGCTCTTCCAGACCTGGGATGCATGGAGGACAAAGCAGGAGAGCAAAGTGGAGGCAGGAAGAGCCCATGGACCTTCAACCCCGGCTCAGCCGGAGCGGCAGCCCTTCCAAGGCACCGTGCCTTTTCATCTGCTATACATTTGGACTTGGACTTCCTCTGGGTCTCTTCTTGGAACTTGGCCTTCACAGCTTAGATTCCCCAGGGGCAGGCCATGTTCCCCATGCAGTGACCCCTGCCACACCCTTTTCCTCTGTATCCTCTCTCAACAGGACCACTGCTATCAAAGCTGGTTCTAGGCTTCAGTCCCATCCACACGGCTACTGGTCCCAGAGCTGCTCGTGCCGGCTACCACACTGCCCACAGGGAAAAACCCGGAGTCCTTAGCCTGGTACACCAGGGTCACTGCCCTGGCTGCACTGGATCTCTCGGGGTCCTCACCCTACATGGACCCAACATTCTTGCCACATGTACCTCCTCTGGTGGCTTTGCACCCAAGGATCCTTCTTCCCAAGAAACTTCCGGCCATGAACACTGTGCTCATGCCTGATCCCATGCATCCTCACTGCTCCGTTGATAGCCCTTCCCCTGGGGCGAAGCTCCCACTGGCAACTGTGGTACTCAGGAGGCAGCCTGCCAAGGCTCTCCTCAAGGAATCCCTACACCCTCCCAGGGAGGCCATGAGTCTGTCTCCAGCGATGGCTCGTCAGTGTTTGCAAAGGCTCATGAGAATAGCCCCGGCTGGGTATTGATCTCCCAGGAGATCCACAAAGCCTGAGAGCCCTCCTCTCATTTGTCCCCCCGTGGCACTGATCTTCACAGGGACAAGGAGGTCCAGAATAAGGCCAGGTCTTATTAAGATTAGCATAGAGAGTCCGAGGAGATGGTTGGCACAGCGCTTGCCATGCGGACGTGGATCCTGGAATTCCATTACCAGAACCTATGCTTAAAACAGAGCTGGGCATGGAGAGATGGCTCGGCAGTTAAGATTACCCACTGCACTTTCGAGGGCCTAGGGTCAATTCCCAGAACCTCCATAGTGGTTCACCTCTGCGACTTCAGTCTTAGAGGATCCAGTGCCCCTCTTCTGGCCTCCACAGGCACCAGGTATGCACGTGCACGTACATGCATGCAGACAAACACTCATACAAATAAAACAACCATTGGAAAGGAAAGCATCAAGTGTGGTGACATGTGCTTGTAATCCCAGAGTTGAGGAGCAGAGCCAGGTGGATTTCAGAGCTTACTGACTAACCAGTGTAGCTGAATTTGTGAGCCCTAGGCCAAGTGAGAGACCTTGTCTCAAAAAAAAAAAAAAATAAGGGAATGAATTAAGGATGATACCAGAAATTAACACACATACACACGTATACACACGCATGCACGCACACACACACAATTAGTACAGAAAAACCCATGTTCATCCAGGCTCAAGGTGTAGCCTAGGCCTCACTGTACAAAGAATGGAGGCTAGAGGGTGGGAAGCAAGAACCAGACTGGAGCCAGGCAGAAGACTCCACCCCCAGGTAGAGTGTGCTAGACTCCCTGCACACCTGCTTTCTCAGCCTCTACTGCCACAAGCAGGACCCTGAAGACTCGGCGTCTGTGGAAGAAGCTAATTCTGGCTTGCCAAGATACTCCAGTGTTCTACTGAGCTCAGGGGCTAATAGGAGGGCAGTCAAGGCTCTGTCAAAGCCAAAATAACCCCTTCCTTTGCCTGACTCAAAGTTGGGAGGACAGAGAAAAAAACTACCAAAGTTTGGGGACCTACTGTGTGCACTGTCTTGGTCGAACAGGTCGCATATCTCTACTGTGTCCAAAAGGAAACCAGGAGCAAAGAGGTTTGGGGACAAAAGTGAGGCTTCAAAGAGAGCAAGGGAGGTTAGACAGAGGTGCAGCGCTCTCTCAGACACTGAGCGCTCTCACCACTGAGCTGCCTGCACTTTGATCACTGAGAAGCCAGCCCTGGATCAGAACTAAACGGTTCCATGCCGAGGATGGCCCCCACTTCCCAGACTCCCTAAGAGCAGACTGTGATCTTCCCTGAAACCAACGAAGGGCAGAGGCGACTAGAACCAGCCAGATGTGATCGTAGCCACACTCGAGTGGATCCTAGGCCTTGGAGCACAGACTCAGTAACTCAGGGACAGAAGCAGCCTTTTGAGGATGAACGAGTGTCTTTGGGTGGTCCAGGCTGCATCCTACCTAGTCTGTAGCCGTGCTGAGCCCTGGTAGACAAGACATCACAGTATTCAGAGCACAGTTAAAAGGGAGAGGTGGGGTGGGGTGTCACTGGCCCCAACAGGGAGGCAACTCTGCCTGATAGGCCCAGGACAGCAAATTCCAGAACAATGCTGTGGTTGTCACCCAGGGAAAGCACTGGGGTCTGTGCTCTATGTGAACTGTGTGCCAACAGTCACCCACAGACCACAGACTCGATAACCCAGAGTACACACCTAACCTTTGTTCTAAGCTCAGACACAAATGCATAGGCATGGAGAATCCAGCTCGGTGCCTGGACCACACAGAGGATGTGAGCAACCCACAGAAACCTTAACAAGACATGTCACCTCACCCCAACCAGCCACGCTCTGGTCGTGTGCACACAAACAACTCACGTGCACACACCCAGAGCAGCACGTGGAGAGAGTGGTGACTGGACCACGTAGCATACAACCTCCTCCCCGCCTCTCTCCAGGAACACACACAGATTGCAGGCACTTGGGCCCAGCCACTCTGCTTCTGGTGCCCTTCCCACCTCTCCTTGCAGTTCCTGCTCTACCCTTTACCCCTCCTGGTCCCCCCCCTCCCGCTAGGGGGCTACTGACTTTCCCACAGCTCTGGCAGCTCCAGCCTGCCTTGCCTCTCTGCCCCCTCAGCCTTCCCTGCCGCCCTTACACTGCCATTCCTGATGCTTGCTCCTTTTTCCAGCCCATCCCCGGAGCAGCTGCGTCCCACCATATTCAGGACCAGGTCAGCTGATCCCTCCTGGGACTATGACCTGAGGACGGAAGAGCTCTGTCAGGCAGCCCAGAGGTAGCTGCCCCAGCCTGGCTAGCGCAGAGGCTGCCTTGTCGAATTGAGGGCGCTCAGCTGTGATGACTCGATGCTGCCACACAAACACAAGCTGGTAGTTTCTGCCTCTTTTTCTTTTATTTTTTTTTTCCAGAACCAAATCACAAACCATGAGACCCACCAATTGTGTTCTAGAAAGTGGTAGCCATAGCAACAGAGCAAGGCATCCCATTTCTATGGTAACCAGGGTGGTAAGGCTGCTGGCTGTAAAGTCAGACAAACCTACTAGGGATCTGTTGACTTAAGACGTTTTATAAATCAGCAAGTTATTTTTATCACAGCCACACCCCTCGGAACACAAATCAGAAAGGCACCCTACTATCTATTAAAATGACCAATATGTGCTATGACTTTCATTTAGGAATTATTTACACCACAGTGGTCTTCAGAAAATTGTGCTTGTCTCTCGGAGCTGTTCAGGGGTTCACTGTACGGATTCATCTTTTTCCCATCTGCATTTCAGGAACAAGTGTTCGGCTGTAACACAGTACAGGGACTGACATTATCTGGCCACTAACTTCCCGTATGACCTCGACCACTCCCTCCTCCCCAAGGTGAAAGTGAAGACTTAGACTTGGTCCCTTTTGAGG